CTAGCGAGATGGAGGAGGAGGAGGAGGAGGTCCCGACGAGGAGGAGGAGGAGGTCCCGATGAGGAGGAGGAGGTTCCGATGAGGAGGAGGAGGAGGTACCCTGTCGAATCCGACCGTTCAATCAATCAATCAATCATTCAATCAATCCCGTCGAATCTATTGATTCGACAGGATCTTGAACTGTCAAGATCCTGTCAAATCAATAGATTCGACGGGATTGATTGATTGCGACGGTAAAGGCGAAAAAAAAAAAAAAAAAAAAGGAGAGCGGGGGTTGTGATATCTACAACAACTTGATTCGAGAATCTGGCGAGATGGAGGAGGAGGAGGAGGAGGTCCCGATAGGGAGGGGGAGGAGGGGGAGGTCCCGACAATAGAGGAGGAGGAGGAGGAAGAGGTGGAGGAGGGGGAGGAAGAGGAGGAGGAGGAGGAGGTCTCAACAAGGAGGAGGAGGAGGTTCCGACGAGGAGGAGGAGGAGGTCCCGACGAGGAGGAGGAGGAGGTCCCGACGAGGACGAGGAGGTCCCGATGGAGGAGGAAGATGATGATGATGATGATGATGATGATGATGATGATGATGATGATGAGGAGGAGGAGGAGGAGGAGGAGGTACCCCATCGAATCCGACCGCTCAATCAATCAATCAATCAATCAATCAATCAATCAATCCCGTTGAATCTATTGATTCGACAGGATCTTGAACTGTCAAGATCCTGTCGAATCAATAGATTCGACGGGATTGATTGATTGATTGATTGATTAATTGATTGCGACGGTAAAGGTGAAAAAAAAAAAAAAAAAAGGAGGAGAGCGGGGGTTGTGACATCTACAACGACAAGATTCGACAATCTGGCGAGATGGAGGAGGAGGAGGAGGAGGTCCCGATGAGGAGGAGGTCCCGATGATGAGGAGGAGGAGGTGGAGGTCCCGATGAGGAGGAGGAGGAGGTAGAGGTCCCGACAATAGAGGAGGAGGAGGAGGAGGATGATGATGATGATGATGATGATGATGATGATGATGATGATGAGGAGGAGGAGGAGGAGGAGGAGGAGGAGGTCCCGACGAGGAGGAGGAGGAGGTCCCGACAAGGAGGAGGAGGAGGTCCCGACAAGGAGGAGGAGGAGGTCCCGAGGAGGAGGAGGAGGTCCCGACGAGGAGGAGGAGGTCCTGACGAGGAGGAGGAGGAGGTTCCAACGAGGATGAGGAGGTCCCGACGAGGAGGAGGAGTAGTAGGAGGAGGTCCCGACTAGGAGGAGGAGGAGGTCCTGATGAGGAGGAGGAGGGGGTCCCGACGAGGAGGAGGAGGTCCCGACGAGGAGGAGGAGGAGGTCCCGACGAGGAGGAAAAGGAGGTCCCGACGAGGAGGAGGACGAGGTCCCGACGAGGAGGAGGGGGACGGGAAGGAGGACGAGGAGGAGGAGGCCCTGATGGAGGACGAGGTCCCGATGGAGGAGGAGAAGGAGGTCCCGACAATGGAGGAAGAGGGGGAGGAGGAGGAGAAGGTCCCGATAAGGAGGAGAAGGAGGTCCCAACGAGGAGGAAGAGGAGGTCCCGACGAGGAGGAGGAGGAGGCCCCGACGAGTAGGAGGTCCTGATGGTGGAGGAGGAGGAGGTCCCGACGATGGAGGAGGAAGAGGAGGAGGAGGAGCAACAGGAGGAGATGGTAGAGGAGGGGGAAGAGGAGGGGGAAGAGGAGGAGGAGGAGGTCCCGAGAATGGAGGAAGAGGAGGAGGAAGAGGAGGAGGAGGAAGAGGAGGAGGAAGAGGAGGAGGAAGAGGAGGAGGAGGAGGAGGAGGAGGAGGAGGTCCCAACGATGGAGGAGGAGGAGGACGAGAGGAGGAGGAGGAGGAGAGGAGGAGGAGGAGAAGGTCCCAGCGATGGAGGATGAGGAGGAAGAGGAGGAGGAGGAGGAGGATGACGAAGGGAAGGAAACTCACCTCGCGCCGGCGGGCGATGGCGCGTGGGTTGCGAGCGTTAGGCGTCGGAGCTCGGCAAACTGCAACGCCGAACTCCGCCGACGGGGCATGGCGAAGTCGCGCATGAGGTGTGGCTGCAGCGGGTCCAAATTCGAATTTAATTCGACCCAATCCGGGCCGTCGATATCAAAGATCTGACGTCCCAGATCGGGCCTTTTTCGTTTTCGGATTCCGAGGCCCTACCGGCCTCGAAAAAAAATTCCCTTGCCCCCCCCCGCTTCGTCTCTGCCCGTGTCCCACCTTCAAGGTGCGCCCCCCCACGTAGAAGCGCCCCTCACATTTTCCCACCGATCGGACGGAGGGCCCCGGGAAAACGTCTGCCCAACTATCCGACCGAACAGTTCCGGACGGTCAGGGGGGGGTCCGGACGTCCGATTGGGCCACCTAGGAACAAAGCAAATTCCGAGAGCCCATGGGGGCTCGACATCAGTTAAAAATTAATAAAGATTCTCCCGCACGATAATCACACAAAAATTCTCATTTTCCACAACAAAATAAGAAAAAAGTAATGGCAACAGTTATCTTTCGTGCTCGCTAAGGCTCGATCAGTACCAATCCTCACAAGATTACCCCGGCCTCGATTCCGACAAACAAGAAAAGCAAGGGCACCCATGTAATCCAGTGGGTCTTTCCTGATTCAATCTCCGAAGTAGCCTTGCGTAGGAAATCGCGCGGTTGTAGAAAACAGTTCATCACATATGTGACGCCCAGGGGGTTCCAATCTTGAGCAAGCTCCTGCTTGCTCACCCAATCACCTGTCGATCTCGTGGGAAAATAGCAGCGATCGACGTGGAGTCGACACATGCCACTTATCGTAAGATGACAGTGTGGAAGTCATCCAGGTGACACCCGCGAACTCCGATCCTAAAGATTGTCGAGGAAGGGTAGCCTGATGACAGTCGGGGGAGGACGAGGGTGAACTTGCGGGAGGGGTGGCAGAAAGCGATGGAGCTGCCAGTCCCCAGCAGGGAGTCGGGTGTAGTGGACGATAAAATAGATGCGAGGGAAACGATAATCTTGATGCATGAGCGAAGCAAGGTAATCAGGATAGAGGGTACAAAGGGTGTGGGGAATCGGGGCGTGGAAATTCTCATATTCTTCGCACGCGGGGATGGTACCTGCGAATCCGCGATTGTGCAATAAACCTCTATATTATTATATTTCTGCCATGCTGCGCTAAAAAGAAGGATGTGGAGGGGGAAAGAAGTTACGAAAGAGCGAGTGGTGGCATGCGGGAAGACGGTGGCGATGAGGCAGGTATAGTAAAGTTGGTGGAAGAGGGAGGGTGGGAAAGGATTGCAGTTAGAAGGGAACAAGGATCGGCCTGCATGTTGATGGAAGGTGAGATAATCAAAGGGACGGCGGGATAACGATCGAGGGCGAAGCCTGAGCGCCCGTATCTCCACATATGCAAACGGTGGGCCATGCTGGTGCAGAAGATTGAGGGGGAGAAGAACTTCTTCTACGGCGTCTGCTTTTAGATCCATCTGCGGTGGTGACGCCATCTCCTCGGAGCTCCTCTTGGGGCGGCTCTAGATTGCGTGCCGGATCGCTTTGTAATAACCGCGCCGCGGGTGCGTCTGACTCTTCCACCGACCGCTTTCCTTTTGCCCTTTCCCGCCTCTTCTGGGTTGCGTCTTCATCTTCCTCCTCACTCCGTTCATTGAGGCTGCCCGATCCGCCCGACTCACTCTCTTCTAGCTCCCCCTCCTCAAACTTGTAGTCATCGGGGTCGTCAAATTCCGCCCCCGAGTTTTCTTCTTCATCGTCACTTGCGTTTTCGCTCTCTTCCTCCTCTTTGTCTACCTCTTCTTCTACTTCCACCCTTCGAGTGATCAGATCCCACAAGGTGAGATCGGTCACGTCAATGATCAGATAGTGGCCCGAGGCATCCATGTGCGGCCTTAGCCACAGCTGTGGCGTAGGCAGCGACCCCACAGCCACAGGGAAAAAAAACAATAAAAAAAATTCAAACAATTCTGAAAAACAAATATGTTATGCAGACAAATATACTGAACAACTTTTGCCTTGTGGTCATATCCAAAAACGTTACCGAATTAAAAATAGAAAAACACATATGTTTCATAGTTTTTTCTTGGAAAAAAAAGAAAAGTTTTTGCCTCAGGAAAATTAGTTTTTTAATTTTTAAAATTCGAAGATGAAGTCAAAAAATAAAATAAAAAAGTGAGCAGTTTAGATCTCAGAAAGATCTACAATCCTATATTTTTTGTTTTGTTTTTGAGAAGTTTCTAAAGTCAAAAAAATTCAAAGTCGGGGCCACACCCAACCGAGGCCGGAGCCACGGCTGCCGTGATCACGGCCGCCCTCCGAGCTCGACCCCGCGTACGCATCCGCGGGTGTTTCATAGTCGAGGAGGGGTAATAGCAGTTGTCACCGTCGAGCTCCATACACGTGGACCACAACACATGTGGTACCAACGTACGGGTAAGCGCCACCGGTGTGGGCCGCTCGTCGCAGCCCGAATGGATATCTAGAGGTAGATCGTCGAGGAGCTGCGCCAAGAACATCAGAATCTCGCCCGCGATTGGCTCCAAATGGCCGTCCCTCACCTTCCCGAACGGAATCCCAAAAAACTCCCCTTCCGTGTTCGTTCTCCATGCTTGGATTATCAACAGCTCCATATCATCATCGGGGACTTCGTCTTCTACGTCCTTATCAGCCGGCTGGCCCGGCTCCGCCCAATGGAACACCACCACGAGGAGACAGAAGTTGAGCGTGACGTACGGGCTCCACCACACCACCCACTTGTCGGCGTCAAGGATCGGCACGTCCAATTGCCTGATCCGAAAAGAGAGAGGGATGTCTGTAGCGGATTGCAAGAAGATAGGGAGATGAGAGGGAAGCCCGAAAGTCGAGAGACGGTGCCGATTTATTGAGGCGGCGCGAAAGGAAGAAGCTCCGGGAAGATGACCTCCGGCATAGTGAGAGAGAGCCTGAGATAGCTGAGGTCGATATCATAAGTGGAGTCGATCTGATCACCTGGCCGAGCTGACAGCTGGGCCCACGCAGCCGTGAGGTCCCACGCCTAGAGTCGGAGCTGTCGGAGGGCGCCTGTATGAGCTGACGGATGCAACGCCGTAAGATCGTCGGTGAAGGCAACGTTCACTGTCACGTGGCTGACGCCTGGTGGAGACAGCCGCAGATAAGCCTATACCTCGGCCAACACCTGTGTTCGATCACCGGTCCGTGCAGACCGGAATTCAGTCGCCGTGTGGATGGCCGTTGTACCGAGGAAAGCCGCGAAACGGAGCAGATCGGGACTCAATCGAGGTCGCTGTACCTGCCGGAGCAGCGAAATCTGCCCCCCAAGTCTCATTAAACGCTCGCTAATGACCTACTCAGTAGAAAATCTCATGGCAATGAGGGAGAAGGCAGAGACGAAGGTTGAAAGGAAGAGGAAGCAGAGTATTTGAGTTCGAGATCGTCTCCTTCCTCTTCAGAATCGAAGGACGATGTGGACAAGGGGAGAGACGGAGAAGGAGGTAAGGGACGAAGATAGGACACATGTCGAATGATCAGTCGAGCCGATCGCCTTCCCGAGACCTCCGACACAAGCCGCACCGTGTTCACTCCGCTGGGACCGAGCTCGACTACGTGGAATCGCCCGAAGAATCATGACACTAACTTGCCCTGGCGAGGACATTTCTGTACCTGCACTATGTCCCCTAATTTATACTAGGGTTGAGGCTCAACATTCCCATTTTGAGCCTCATAGCTCCGGACCTGTCGTCCATCGACCTTTTTGGTTATCCGCTGCCTTTTTCAGGCTAATCGGGGAGGACTTTTTTCATTAATTCTAAGTGGCATTGAGCCTTGTCTTTGACTGTTGCCCTCGTGGCTCGTCGTGCCAATACCGTTTTGTCGTTCAGGCTCGGCAGAGCTACGCAGACCAGACTATTGGTCCGTAACTGAAAAGGGGTCAGGCCACTGGATTTATGGGGTGTCCCTCGGTGGATAGCTAAGATGTGGTCTACGATATCGGGCCAAGGTCTCATGTCCCGAGCTGCGATATTTCACTGCAAAGCTGTCTTAATCACCCGGTTCGCAACTTCGCATTGTCTAGCAGTCCGTTCGACTGCGGCATATGGGGGGCCGTATTGCGAATGGAGACACCATATACAACTAGGCTACTTAAGACTTCTCCTCGGAATTCTGCTTCGTTGCCTGTTAGGATTTCCTCGGTGTCTTGATGCATTCCGAGGAAGCGGTTGACATAGCGCATATTTTCCGCCGTCTATCGCGTTTTGCAGGGGTAGGCCTCGATCCATTTTGGGAAATGATCTTCAAACACCAGAAGAACTGAATATTCATAGCTATTCGGTCCAGGGGGCACAACGATATTTGTCGTGTCCATGCTAACACTTTGGAATGGTCACTCGACTACAGTAGGCATTATCGACCTAGGCGATTGAGTCGGCACCTTGTCCGCTGCGCAGACCGGACAATTTTTAACGATGAATTTAATATCGTCTCGGATATTGGACCAATACCATTTGTTTTTGGCAATTGCCGACTCTGTGATCCTGACAGCAAAGTGAGTGGCGGTTTCTTCGTGGACCGACTTAACCCAGTCGTACCTCATGAACGGATGGGGCACTGACATCCAAATCCCACTACCATCTGTCTTTCGTTCCATCAGTAATCCTGTGTCCTCTTGTTAGCCCGCCTCCGATCTTCCTTGGTGAATTCTCGAATGGAGTTCCAGACCACGGTGGCTATCAAAACGACATCTATCCATACTTTCGCCCGTCGAAATTTGTGTGTCTTTTCCAACCCTTCGGACGTGGCTTCGAGGAATCGAGCCTCCGTTGGGATTTTATCAGCTCGACACAAGGGACATAACCAGGCTTTACCTGCGTTCCTGTATTTGATACAGGAGCCGTGGGCCCGAGAGACACACTGTTCACAGTCTACCCACTCAACATACCCTTCGCCACTAGGATGCATAGAAACAGAATAGACTCGCGATATTGCTTCGCAAAAATAACAAAATTTGTCAGGGAAGGAGAGAAGAGAAGAAGATGAGAGGGGAGAAAGGGGGCCTTTAGAGTTACCTTCTTCACCCATCGCCAGCGTGTCCACGTGTCATTTCCTGGAGGTTCGGGGAAGAATGGTCACTTATCCGTACGGGGGTCCCTTGGTTGGCTCCGGTTCTTTCTACGGGGTGATCTCTTCACCTTTGGCCATGCAGTCATGTCAATCCCTCGTCGTTCCCGTGTTTTTCAGTCTTTCGATGGATGATGTCGAAGTCGTATTCCTGTACCCGGACAACCCATCGCCCAATCATACACGTATAGTTGGTTAGCCTCTTGAGAGCCAGCAGGGGCTTGTGATCCGTGACGAGGAGAAATTTATGTCCGTACAGATACGGATGGAAGTGCGGAATTC